CCGTGGGAGCTGCGAGCGCCCGGCTCCCCCGCCCCCGGCGCCCACCCCGTGCCTGCCGCGGCACCCCGAGGCCGCGGCCCGGCTCACCTCCGCGTACTGCTCCACCATGGCCCTCTCCACCTCCTCGTCCCCTTCCCAGTCTCGCCAGTTGTCAAAGTCCACGGAGAGCCAGGCCGGCTGCGGGCAGAGCGAGCGTCCCCTGAGGGAGGGAGCAGCGCGGAGGGGCCCCGCAGCCCCGGGAGGGCTCTGTGGGGACCGGGCGGGCTGGGGAAGGGCAGGAGGGGGCTCTGTCCCCTTGCCGGTGGGCGCTGGTCCTGACCCTGCCGGCATCGAGGGACGGGGGTGCCGCAGCCTTCCCACAGGGCAGAGGTCCCTGGACCGGCGGCGACCGTGAGGTCGGGCTTTTGGGGAGCTCCGTGTCGGGGTGCCCGTTGTCCTGGGGGCAGGTTGGTCCCCGGGAGCCGCGAGGCGCTGTGTGGGGCCAGTGCACGCCCTGAGGCTGGTCCTGGCTGCCAGGCGCCACACGCACCTTGATGTTCTCCTTGGTGATGCGGGGCCAGGCCACTTTCTCCTTCCACTTCCTCATAAAGCAGGTGATGGAGCGGTCGGAGCGCTTCTCCCGTGAGTCCTGCCAAGAGATCGCGGGTGCCTCACCTCAGTCTCTGCCGGACCCCTCTCTGTAATCCACTGTGGACAGGCACAGGGTTAAAGCTCAGCCACGTGCAGGCTGTGGGACACAGAACCACGGAGACGAGTCGTTTCTGGCCCCGCGCAGCACTGCGAGTGCCAGGCCCAGGGCCAGGGCTCCCAGGCTTGTGCTCACCCCGCTCACGCTCCTGGGAAACAGGCAGGATTCAGTGCTCAAGACTGCACAGGCTGGGTTTAACTCTGAGCCTGCTGCAGGATGTCGGAGAACAGTTTGCTGGGGGGAAGCCTCACCTTGGAGTTGACCCTGGCGTACAGGTTGATCTCGTTGTAGAACTCCACGCCGTCTGCGTTTTTGCAACTGCCAAAACAGCGTAACCGCCTGGCTCAGGAGAGGGCCGAGGCCACGCGTGCCCTGCTCTGACGGGCTCCCCCCTTCCCCGAACCGCCCCGGGGCAGCGGCAGCTCACCTGAACGCCAGCCGCTGGTCCTCAATGACGACCTTAACGTCCCTGCTGTCCTCGACGCAGAACTCCAGGTAGACGTACCGCGGGCGGTCGTACCACAGCGTCTTCGCGGGTTGCCTCGGGAAAGAGCAGAGCCGCGGGCGTTTCCCTGGTGCCGCCGGGGGCTCGGCAGGGACGGGCGCGGGAGGTGCCCCAGGCCTGCACC